ACATGTTGAATCAGATTGACAACTGAAATCAGCAATGCAAAGTAAACTACTGGATCTGAAACTGAGACAGTCAATGAAAACGCTGAGTCAAAGTAATAACTACAATACAGGTCAAAACGCTATCAATACAGGTCAAATTATACGCAAAAATCTCAAACTGCTCCAAGAAAATCAAACCAGTTATGACTTGAGCAAATTCAAAATCAAAGTCATACTCAATGAAACCTGAGATTAAACTTATACAATACGGCGTAAACACTTCCACAGGAGAGAGAAGAGGAAACCTCAAAAAACCCATCATCTTAAGGTAAAATCCCTAAAGTCATAATTAAATTCAAACTAAAAAGCCAATTAAGAAAGTAAAAGTCTAAGCCTGTAATGATAATCGATCAGGAATTAAATCCTTATATGTTTAAACGTTGAATACCATTCAAACGTTAACTAGTAGTGATGATGTAACCTTAACTCAAAGCATGATGCAATAATAACTTCCTTAGATCAAATCAACATAAGGGCGCCTGGGGAGCAGTTAGGGGTTTGGCCGTCTTGCTTAGGGACGTTTTGACTTGGGATTTGAACCACCAACCCTGCGGTCTGCAGCACACCCTCTGTACTCCATGTGCCACGGTCACAATGATGGAAATCACAACAAACTCTGATTTTAAAATGTAAGTTGTATCTTTTACCTTCACTCTGTATATCAGTGTTGAACTAAAGAGAAAGTGAAACTGTTCTCTCTCCCTTTGACTCTACATCATGTTCTTACTCCTCCAAACCATATGAGGCTGTTAACAGCTGATGATCTAACAGTTTTTCCCCACAGAGGAAGTAACTCACTCTGAGCACATGGGAGGTAGAAATGCTGTGCTGCTCAGGTCTTAACGTTACATTGTGGCTGTTCATGTGTACAGTAATTATATCACATAAATGACTATTGTGTTTGATTCATATTACAACTGTTTTATTAAACATGCTAATTGTAGTGGCCATTTGTCCTTGTTACCAACACATCTTTGAATCAAAGGGTCACTGCTGCACCTAGTTTTTGTTTTCTGTCACGCAGTAAGAAAGCGGATTGTCTGGCCGATCTTTTCCTTTGTTTCGCCTTTATTCCACAGGATCCACAACACATACGATACAACTTGTCTGCCTTCCTATGCAGTGCTCTGTCTCACTGTCTCACTGCTAAACACTATTAGTCACCCAGGTGCATGCTGGTCCCACCTGGCTGTGCCCCTAAGTAACCTCCAGGTGACGCCAGCATCAGCCAATTAGTGATCCAATTACCCAAACAATTAATCCAACTATATTCAAGAATAAGTAACTAAATAATAGCTCCCACATCAAGCTGACGATAAACCTGAATGAGCATTAATGCAACATCCTGAAATGAAAATAGATGAACACTAACAATCAGATGCATCT